GACCAATAATAATACAGACATTGATAATTATAATAATATGAGTAGTTGTTAAGTAAACAAACGGATGTAGACATCAGAACACGTCATAAAATTAAATCAAGTTTTGAAGAGATCAGATAAAGGCACCATGTCAATAATAATAACAGTAAGTTTGTAATATTCACTTTCTGAACAAATATTTCACACCCAGATCTTCACATTGTGACATCTACAAGAAATCCAAGTAGTTATGAGGGGCTTTTACTCATATGAAACTTAAAAGATTCTAATATATTGATCTGTTATCCAGTATCAGCTAGATACGAAACTATAGTACTGACTGACGAGACTAAGCTTCTAAGGCGTAGGTGCCTTGACGAGTGTTTAGAAATCCTGTTAGACAGTAGTCTTTCCTTTATTCATATGTACTTGATACTGTCAGCAAATATGAACTCGTGAACTCAGTTGAAGTTTCCGAAAGTCAGAAGTCAGCCTACTTCTTAGTTGTTAGTCATGAAAAAATTTAAGACGTTTTGTCAATTGTTTTAATTTTCTTTCGTTTTCGTGCTTATTTAAGCCAAAAGTTCGCGTTACCATCTCAGGTATTTATTTTTTTAATTTTATTTTTGATTACAGCTTGATTCCACACTGTATTTTTGGTACAAGTATGAAATTTTCAGCATGGATATCGGTAGCCTAAATTTCGCAGGCCGATCATAGATATCAGGTGTGCGTCAGTGGCAGGGGATCGAACCTCGGACCATGTGCATGGTTGGCGAGAGTCCTAACCAGTGTGCCACCGACGCACACTGTAATGACATTGTAATAACTCACATTTGTCAACATCTATACAGTTTTCTAATCGCAGAGCTAAGCATGTATGCGTTGGTTAACTACAAACCAACACTTGAATACCAACACTTGAATATTTTGATGTAGTTGTATTTTCTGAGCTGGATGGTTTATTTGCGAGCCTTTCATTGCCCGATTAGGCAACATCTTCGGCTGATACCTCGACTTGAAGTTAGCTTTTTATATGACTTCGCGAGTTTATTCATCATCTCTCCTGATGACCTTGAACGTGATTGGTTGTTTTTGTGTGTTATCACACCTTCTAGGCTACTTTTACTGGTATTGGTGTTGTTTGTTTCCTTAACATAGACCAAATTCACCAATCCATAAGAAATAAGTTTCACACACAAATGGTCAAAGTTCAAGTCAAGGAAACAATCAGTTCCAATACAAATAGCCTAGATGGCGTGAAAACACACGAAAACAACCAACCATATTCAAAGTCAGAGAGAGAGATGACTAATAAACTTGTGAAGAAATCTAAAAGCTCACTTCAAATTGAGGTATACGCTGAAGATGTTGCCTAGTCGGGCAATGAAAGCTTCGCAAATGAACCATCCAGCTCAGAGAACACAAGTCCATCAAAATCATCCACCTTAGCGGCAAATCTTCTTCATTATATCTAAATGTTAGTTAACTAGTTGATATCATCATTTACAGTGCACTAATATTAATATTGTGCTTGGTGGTTCAACGGTGGAATGCTTACCAACCATGTAAGTGGTTTGGCGATCGATCTCAGACTGACTCACTTCAAAATCTCGCTTAGAGAGTAGTATGGGCACAGTGGAAAGGTTGGGAGTAAATCTATCTACGCCATCCCGTAAAAAGAAGAACAACACTTCTACTGAAACTTCAAACTCAAAGCATGAAACCCTATGTTTCACTGAGAACGCTAATGAGTGAAATAAATAATTTTAATATCCAAGTGTTGGTTTTTAGGGATTTGATTGGTTACCGGATTTCATCATGAGCTGGAATTGGTTAGAAAACCGTTGGAAAACCTGCAGGGAGTACTCAACAGCTGTTTCATCAGACTAGTTTGGGACCATTCAGGAGTACGCACCCACCAGGGTCCCAACTCAGGACCTTCTGGTTACAAGGTGAGGACATATAGCATTAAGCCACTGGGATCCGATCCTATGGCCAATGAATTCTAACTCCTGCCAATTCACGACATAGCGCGACCGCTAACCAATGTCTTCAGTGAGTATTTGTCCTCACACCTCACCTGCTGCACCCCACTGGTCATGACTTCTCACCAGAACCCCAGGTTACTACCTACCTGAATATGGGAAGTCGCAAGTGAGCATCTCATCGATATCCAAGTGTTGGTTTGTAGGGATTTGATTGGTTAGAGGATTTCATCATGAGCTAAAATTGGTTAGAGAAACATTGGAAAACCTGGGAGTACTGGACAGCTGTTTCGTTCTAGTTTGGGAATCTTCATCAGTACGCACCCACCAGGTTCAAATTTCAATATGAACATTCGTTTAGATATATGACATTGTATCTCATGTTTTATTCAAAACTATCGAACAGAATTTCTTGTAGCGTAAATTCTATTCGAAGTTGCCATTCCACTGTCAGATACAATGATGTCATCTCTAACATTTATCAAGTAAATCAATCCTACTAATTGTATCTTCGATCCTAAAAATCAGTATAAGATTATGGTATGGTTTCATCCTAAGTTTATTATCAATACGGCTTATATATATATATATATATATATATATATATACTGATCAGATTTATCTGACATGAAAATGAACCCATCAGCCTGTTTTCTCAATAATTATTTTAAAAATGTAGACAGAATTTCTGGGATTCATTTCAAGTTATCAATCTTGCAACGTTTTTTGAACAGATGAAGTAAAATAATAAGTAGACAAATGATTTTCGTACACTCATCGATTATGCGACTTCTTTGCATCTGAATTCTGATTGGTTGTTCAAGGTCACTGTGGTTTTGAATATGATGCTTTAACTTTGCTACATATATATGAGTTGGGTTTGAAAAGACAATACAAATATCAATAGTCTATATTCTGACTTTTATCTGATTTGTTATCAGTTGTCATTCACTAACTTTGTAAAAATCGTTTCTGTTCTCATGGGCATCATTTTTATCTACATATGCCTCTTTACAGACAAGATGTTTCTTTTTTCCCTTGTTAACTATAATAAATATTCGTATTGAAGTGGTTCTTTATCTGTTCGAATAAAGCTAGAACATTGGACTTTACAAAATAAGATAGTATCATCATGTGTTTCGTTGGTTGCCTCTTCAGCTGCGTAGAGTCGAAAGAAATTATAAAGTTGTTTATATACAAAACAATTTAAATATACTTGCAAATGTTATATAATGTCATCTGACTCCGAACTCAACGAAGAGTGTGCAGAAATTCTTACATAGCTTTTAACCTAAAGAGTTCAAGTCTTAACAAAAATAAAGGCTTAGATACAGTGGCAGAGGGTTAAAGTAATAAAAGCAATGGGCATACAACATGATGAGTATCTGACACACTGAGTTACAATGTGGTGAGTTCAATTCGAATCACAGAAATAATAGACAAGCAAACTAACAAACTGCAAAGTTGGGAGGTGTTAAAGCCAAAGGTTACGTAGCCAGGTGAAACGTAGAGTAAAGACATATAGTTACCAGGGCAAGGAAAGACTTGTAATCGCTTTTTTCTGAACACATAAATCGGTCTTCCGGCGCTTGATAGCGATTGCTCCGGCATACGTGAGCAGCATTGGACTGTTTTGTCTGCGATGTCCACCTTACAATCCGTATTGATGAGGTGTCTTGCGATGGCACTGTTGTAAACGTTTGTCCCTTGAGATATAGGCTTTTTAGTACGTGTGCAGAAAATTAAAGTGTGCCTTTCTCCTTTTTCTCCCAATGTAGATGCTCCTGTAGATACATGGAAATTTGTATACACAGTTAGAGGTAGCATGAGTAAGGTTTATGTCTACCTTTAATTGCATCAAAGAGCATGTTGTCCGACAAATGGGGACCGACTTATTTGAAGGATAGGTTCTGGTTGGAGAGGTATTCAATCTTCTCCTGTCTATTCCTGCAATAGTATCTTCTTAAAGTCGAGATAAATGAAGATAGGCTTCTTTTCCACCATTGTTTTTTTTTACATTTAAACCTTCACGTCTGTCATACTTATCAATGAATTTCTGAGGGTAACAGTTATTTATCAACATCTTTTCGAGAATTAGAAATTCTTCCCATAGTGTTTCTGTAGAATATATTCACCTGGCTCTATAAAACAGAGTTCCAACCAGTGTTTGTTTATGGCTTTTCTGGTAGAATCTATTAAAACATAAGTATTTTCCATTCCATGTGGTTTTTCGGAGAATTGATCTCTGGAGACTACTATCTTCCAGGCGTTGAATGGCAGCTTCAAGTAAATAAAACTTCTCATCACTTTCATGTTCCATTGTGAATTTAATATTTATACAGGCGTAGTTGAATAACCCGAGTAGGTAGGGTGCATGACTTTCATTGTCCCATTCTATAAGTGTGTGTCGCGGACATATTGACAATAAGAAGTTGTTTCATTGTTTGTAGGCTTCATCTCTGTTCTTTGAAGGTCAAACATGAAGACGCCTACTTAAACAGAGCTCGGTGTATTTCCCATAGCTACATCATCTATTTGATAATAAATAGCGTTGTCAAACTGGAATTGTACACCTTTAGTACATATTTCCATTTGGCGTTTAAATTTAACAACTGGAAATGGGAGAAGACATGAATGCCCCAAAAATGATATCGATAGTCCCATTGATCGGGATCCTTGTAAACAGTGAGGTTACATTAACTGACACTATAAACTTATTGGAAATGTTCATGTGGTTCAGGCTTTCGTTGAAATGGAATAAACTTTTCATGCTGCACACAACTAGCCATTGATAAATGGGTTCTAACTTCTCTGCAAGTCAACGAACAACTTTGCGCTGAAGCGAGTTGATTATAGGAATTATAGGTCTCAGAGGGACATATTCTCTGTCTGTTTTAAGCTAACTATACACTGTAAGGCAAACAGGACCTATAGAGATATGATTCATTATTGATAAAAGAGATAATATGAGACAATAAGAGAAGAGTAAAATTTCTTTAATTTTTCGTGTTTTTTTTTACTTGTTAATTTCAGGTAAAGGTGGCAATCAAGTAATTCAACTAATGAGTTACCTTACATGTACACTAATAATTCTACAATCATTTGAATATTGTAAAGCATTTGTCAATCTATATGAGGAAAGAGAAATACAACAAGAATCTAGACAATCATATGCTTATCAACACACAAACTCCACATATGATGTAGCCAAAGAAATACTTCCAGTTAAACTATTGATTATCGCCTTATATTCATGTATCACATTGATGGGTGTTACAGGTAATCTACTAGTTGTCTGGATTGTATTACGTGTCAAACCATTACAGACTATTACAAATATATTTATTGCCAATTTAGCTGTCTCAGACATTTTAATGAGTCTTGTTGCTACACCATTCACTCCTCTATCATTATATATGAGCAACTGGACACTACCTGAGGCTGTTTGTAAACTTTTACCAACTACAATGGGTGTATCGGTGTATGTGTCCACATTGACATCAATGGCGATAGCATTAGATCGATTCTTTGTTATTGTTCATCCATTTCTACCAAGAATGAAAATATGGTTATGCTTTATTATTATATTCACTGTATGGATAATAGCTGTACTCATTTCAATGCCATTAGCTGTTTATCAACAAAAGCATAAAGATCCAATGAATAATGTATCAAGTTGTCGAGAGAATTGGCCTAAAGAATCCTCACGTGAAGTATTTACAATTGTTAGTTTTGTATTACAATTTGTTGTACCATGCAGTATTATCTCAGTGTGTTATTTCCGCATAAGTTTACTACTACGCTCTCGACTGCATACACAAATTGGTAGTGGGACAAAAACACAAATGAAAGAAGAAAGAGAGATCAAACGTAAACGTCGAACAAATACAATGTTAATAGCAATGGTTGTGATATTTGTTATATGTTGGATACCGTTGAATATCTTATGGATGGTAATGGATGTACACAGTGAAGAACATATGAATGATGTACAAAGTTCAAAAAATTTCAGTCTAATCTTTTTTGTCTGTCATCTGTTAGCAATGAGTAGTGCTGTATATAATCCATTCTTGTATGCATGGATGAATAATAATTTTCGTAAAGAATTTCATCGTATTGTACCGTGTTTCTTTTTAAAGCCAAGATATCATTCAAATCAAATGACAACACAAACTATGGGTGCTGAATATACAGCTGTACGCATAAATTATCTTAATTCAACTGTACAACCACCATCTGTTTTAATTAGAGTTAGTGAAGAAATAAAAGACACCAGTCATCAGATAACATCGAATGACTTAGGCGCTGATCAACAGCAACAACAACAACAACAACAACATCACCCACAGCAACAATATGATGAGGATATTACTTTCGTTGATTCTGTTAATCACGAATCAAAAGAACACGAAAATGCAATTCAAGTAGAGAGTAAAGTAGAAGAAACAATATGTCATAATAAATTAAATAATAAAATAAGTCAAGTAAATAATGATTTAGAAAATCAAACTAAAAAACATGAACATATTGATAACATTGAGAATGTTAACTGTTCACAAACATCTCTTCATAAAACACTTGATCATTGAACATACACACACTACACGCTATATATGTATAAATATGTGTATATGTATGTGATATCTATGGTGTATTTCCGATTGTTTTCTTATCAATCAAATGAACACAGATTTTTCTGTTCACCTTATGTTCTTAATAGGTTTTATTGAAATATTTTTGTGTTTTAAACTTCTGTGTTTTTTTTCTAACTGCGCGCTTAATTCATTTTTACATTTGTTGTTACTGTTATTTGTTGTTGTCGTTGTTGTTGCTGTATGCCACAGGAAAATGTCTCCCTTAAGTGTGTGTATGTGTGTGTATATGTGTACGTGTTTATCCTTATCACTCTGTAAATTGTTTTAAGCAAAAGGAATGAAAAGATGCTATTTTTATTTCATAAATTATTGAACATAAAGAAAATCAATAAACAAAATGATCTCTTGTTCTGTTATTGCTGTTGTTGTTGTTGTTTAAATACAAAACAAACAAGATGGCGCTGCTTCAAATTCGTGATGTAACAAAAAAGGCATTACTTTTCGTCATATATCCTTAAATCAGATTTAATACTTGCAAGTTAATTTCCAATTTATACAGTTCGAGGAGGTGAAATTCACCACAACTTTCTTTGGAAACTGATTTTATTCCGATCACAGTATGTGATCTGGTTGATAACATAATATGTGATCGAGAAAGCGAGTATATTTGCATAAACTATATACTACTGATAGACTGAGGTAAGTAGTTGTATACCACTATCCAGACGATCGAAACTGCTGTTTGGTATTTAGACCACTTCATTGTGGCTAGCAAACACTAGTGGTTGATGTGAGTGGTATAGAACTACTCACTTCATCAATCAGTAGTATGTAGTTTTAATCATTTGTTTCTACTTCTTTGATTACCATTTAGGATATCATATAGACTATTTATTTATTTATTTTATTATTCCTTTGCGTTCCTAGTGGAACATAGATCTACAGCAACACATATAAGTTATAAGTTATGTATATATTAAGACACAACTTTAACTTCGGGTATGTCTAACGGACTATAGTGTTTCATAACACAGTGTATTGCAACAAGCATGTGATGATTATTTACATATTACATATGTCAAGTAAACTTTCCTAATCATGTCCTAAAACCAGCAAATTTAACATATTCAAATCAAATCCATTGTAGCTGGTTTTAAGAAATGCAGATTTTGGCACATCTCAGAAAAAATTTATAAGTTGCACATGTATCCAGAACCATCCACTACTAACTTAGTAAACTTTCTATATTATAGAGAAGATTTGTAGCTCAGGTGGATGATTTTGATGTGGTTTTGTTCTCTGAGCTGGATGGTTAGTTTGCGAAGCTTTCATCACCTTACTGGGTGACATCTTCAGCGCATACTTCAATTTGAAGTGAGCTTTTAGATTTCTCCACGAGTTTATTAATCATCTCTCCTGGTGACCTTGGACGTGATTGGTTGTTTGTGTGTGTTTTCACACCTTCTAGGTTACCTGTATTGGAACCGGTTGTTTCTTTGACTTGAACTTTGACCCTTTGTGTGTGAAGTTTCTTTCTTATTGGTTGATAAATTTTGTCTATGTCGATGTGTCTATTGATTGATGATCCACTGGAATGCCAAGCTTCTAAAAATTCTCTAGCATTCTTGTTATTTCCTTTGTCTAATATTTGAACGTTGTCCCAGTCGAATTGACAACTACGGACATCAATTCGACTGGGACAACGTTCAAATATTAGACAAAGGAAATAACAAGAATGCTAGAGAATTTTTAGAAGCTTGGCATTCCAGTGGATCATCAATCAATAGACACATCGACATAGACAAAATTTATCAACCAATAAGAAAGAAACTTCACACACAAAGGGTCAAAGTTCAAGTCAAAGAAACAACCGGTTCCAATACAGGTAACCTAGAAGGTGTGAAAACACACACAAACAACCAATCACGTCCAAGGTCACCAGGAGAGATGATTAATAAACTCGTGGAGAAATCTAAAAGCTCACTTCAAATTGAAGTATGCGCTGAAGATGTCACCCAGTAAGGTGATGAAAGCTTCGCAAACTAACCATCCAGCTCAGAGAACAAAACCACATCAAAACTTTCTATGGTAGGAATTATAACTATTTTAACGGCAGAAGACAAAGGGTAGGCAACAAATCGTTTATTGAGAAAAACAAGAAATATTTATAGATTTTATATACATTATTTTTATTTCTTATTACAGCTTGATTCCACACTGTATTTTTGGTACAATTATGGAATTTTCAGCATGGATATCGGTAGCCCAAATTTTGCATGCCGACCATAGATATCAGGTGTGCGTCAGTGGCAGGGGATCGAACCTCGGACCATGTGCATGGTTGGTGAGCGTCCTAACCGCTATGCCACCGACGTACGTTATTAGTAGCAGAGAAGCAGCCTCTTCTGATTGGTTGTGTTTTTCTGAAGGTCATTCTGTACTGCCTGTGTCTGTTTCTTACATGTTTATCCATGTATCTGCGAATCTTATTTGCACAAGCCAGGTCTGCTGTGATTGGTTGTTGAGTTCCTCAAGGTTAGGGTTTGTTCTTGTTTTTTCTTCTGACCAAGATTTGGGACGTAAATATTGATGTAAATTGTTGTCTACAATTTCGGCTTGCAGACAGCTGTCACCACACTATCACTTGTGGCTACGCACATAGTCTGAATCCGTATTGACTGCTGGTTCCATATGGACCTGTGCCACAACTTTTTTGACAGATCAACTAATATCAGTATAAACGGATAAAGCCTAAAGTAAACTCGTGGGATATTTTCTAGATGTTTTGTAACAACACAATGACACGGAAGTATAACTTCCTACGTCTATACTCTGGAAATGTATTCACCTAAGGCTTCCTGAGGACTAACAGATCAGAGTTAGGTGATATTCATGACTCTGGCTATATTCGTAATTATAAGGGGTGTGGTTGATTAAATATATGTTGTTATTTGTAATTCGTATAAATATTCCCTCAGAGGATTGAGCTGAGACAATAATAAAGTAAATGCATGCAATTATTTCACGAGGTAAACTTGAACAAAAAAAGAACATATTGAAGAGAAAAAAGTGACATCATTAAAATTAATTGGTTCTAGTTAGCTTCATACATCAATAAACAGTGGGAAGCCGTGACCAGTAGGTTGCAGCAGGTTGAAGATGAGGCAGTAACTCATTGAAGCAGACATTGCGAAGTAATCACGCTAAGTCATGGACTGGCAGAAGTTAAAATTCGTGGGCTGGCCATTGGATGGGGTTCAAATGGCTTAATGTTCTACGAGCTCGCCTTCTAACCAAAAGGTCCTGTGTTCGAACCCTGTGGTGGCTGCTTCACTGCTGAAGAGTCCCAAACTAGGACAAAACGGCTGTCGAGGACTCCCAGTTGGTAATTCAGTGGCTCTTCAACTGATGTCAGCTCATGATGAAATCCTCTAACCAATCAAACAAATTCCTTACAAAACCAATACTTGAAAATATGATTATGATGAGATTACCATTGTTGGAAAGTGTTTACAGAACCATAGATATCCTCAAAAAAACTATTAATACTACACCACTGTCTGTTAAATCAAACAAACTTATATAGGGTTAGGTTCTACGCAGTGCCCAAGTTCTACAATTACAGTATCAAAAACTTTATTGATAAACACAAAAAATAGTAAACAGGAGAGCTTTATTTCATACATTTGAGAAGAAACCAGTCTTCCTTAATCTTGGATTCGAAGATAATGAAGAATAAATATAAATGAATACTGCTCTCAAGCTAATTTATCCATCTTCATGGTTGGTCACAGTGTATTGGATAAAACGTTCACTGACATATTCTAAGTTTGACAAGTTCCCTTTTCATGTTACCTCCAATTGAATATATCAATTTACATGAACGTCAAAAAGCATATACATCTGTCAGACAAAAAGAAGTATTTGTAATAGCGTATCTGACCACATTTCAAGAAGCCTGGATCAGAAATGTGCAAAAGTCGTAATTATTGAGACTGCTCACCATTAGTTTACTGGGTTCCTCATTTGAAAATAATCAACAGCTAACGCGTCAGAGCTTGAAGAAATTCATCTTGTTTATGTCTACTGACAGAAGTAAATAATGTTGTCGCCACTTATTTCAACTTCAAAACATGCTCTACTCTCCAAATTCAATTTATCTACACACGTCATTCAATGAGGCTGTCCAATATTCCCCTTCCAGGAACTAAAGGATATTATGGGTTACACTAAGATACTATAGGTTTGTATAGGAAAAAAGTCAAGGCCATGAATCAAGAGACTTAAAGTCCTGAAGGTTATGTAAGCCGATTGCTATTTTCGTATACACAGGCACGTACAATCTCGTCTAGTGTTCACATTCGGAATTCGATCATAAGAATTACCATTGAAGCGTTCACCAGTGTACACCTGTTTAAACTGTCACACGTGTACAGCCTCCCCTTCAGCTTTGTACAATGAACGTAAACTGTAGGAATATTTCACTCCTGAGAACCACAGTCTGTTTCCATTAAGTTGAACTAATCTCAGCGTTGTTTGTGATTGGTTAGTCTGATATTGTATTTGAATTTACACCTTTGGCAGCTCCAAATATTAGTTATGCATGTTTTTCTAAAATTTTATCATTCAACAGCAATAATTACCAGGCGTAATTGCGTCGATCATCAAAAAGTAATTTATCCGTGGATTCGGTCAATATATTCTATGAGTTTTTGTACCAGAGCTTAAGGACCAGACAGAGGTTTCAAGAAATTAATGAGTGTCTTGGAAATATATTGCTGTTATGCGGATGCAAGCATTACCTGACTGTCATGCTCAGCACGGCAGTCTGCAAAATCTTAATGGAAGTAACTTAATGAGTGCCAATGTTTTCCCTTCAATAGACACTTTGAGAACTGGCGTGGTCCTGAAGGCAGGTGTCACAAGAAATCCTAATCGGTGATGTAATGCTTAAAGATGTGATGTTGCAAGCTGGTGTTCACGGATGTCCATTAACTCTCGGGACAGTATAAAGTTGTTGAGCCCATTAATGCCACATACAGGCGTGCTTTGACTAGGGAGCTACTGATGTCCACACAACCATAGTTCCAAAGACTTCCTAGTGGCCAGAAACTGCAAACTCCAACGCCCATCAAAAGAACTGCACAGATAAACAATATGTTTGACGTTAAGTTTAATGAAATTTATGAAGGGTTATGACCCTCATAACTTTCAGAGACTAATGTATCCCAGTAACTGTTACAAGAGCTAGTGTGATGCAAAATACTCTTATTATACTTAATGCCTAGTAATCCATTTTTACGTGTTTCGGCACTTTTGATGTTCACTTTTGATTATCGTGCATATTATTCATTCGAATTTACGCTTTTGCTAACTACCAGCTATATGTTCAGTTACTACGTGCTTTGTGTTTGGACGTCGGATAACCGAAAAACCGAAAGTGTGTAATATTATACTATTCGGTGTATCTCTTGAACAAAACAGTTTCACAGTCTACAACCTTATGGTTTTCACATTGTGGCGAGGGCTGTCTGCTAGCCAGAATTGGTGGACAGAAATTTACGTCAATGCTTACGTCCCGAATCGGTGTCATGAGAAAAAACAAAAACAGAGAATAACTCAACAACCAATCATAGCAGACTTAGCGTGGGCGGATACAATTAGCAGATATATCAACGAACTGTCTAAGAAGCGGTAGCAAATAGATGACAGAATAACCTTCAGTAGGAAGACAACTAATCAGAAGACGTTACCGCTCTGTTAAAAATAACGAATAATAATGCACATAAAAATCTATAAATATCTGTTGATTTTCTCAATAAATGATCTGTTGCCTGGTCCTTGTCTTCTATTGTT